GTCTCCATAGCAACCACTTGAATTCAGGCTAAGGACCACCCTAACATCTTGTCTTTTACTATATACATTTATTCTCTTTCATCCTATATTTCTAACCTAATTTAAGCTAAAAATATGTTTAATAGAGACATAGATTTATGAAAACACAGACAAAGCAGTCTCCAGGCCAAGAAAAAATTAGTGTATGGGAAAATGTAAATTTTAATTTCAAATATATTCTTTCTAGGGTTCTTTACATCCAATGGGACATAAAGCAAGATTAGAGAGTGCTGACTATATAATAATTTCTCGACTTTCAACCACAATGTTCATGGCAATACGCTGTGATCCAAAACTTACAAACATTTTTAACTAAATGTCAATTCAAATTAACTCCTAAATGAAGTTTCAAAGTCTACATGTCATTGCTCTGTCCATTACTTTTGCTGAATCATCCCAACCCAGGACAGTCACTTCAGCAGCATTACCATGTCACATGAGGGTTCCTTTATGAGTAAATTCATAAAGCATAAATAAATTCAGGTTATGCAAAGGAAAAAGACACATGATAGAAATGCTTTTATACTCTGTGTACTCCACCAAGAGCATTATTGTCTTTCACCTGGTCCTGACCCCAGCTCCTCCCACCTCCATTGGTGGTAATTAGTATCTTCAATAATTTGTTCAGTAGTCTCTTGTTATAATAATTTCCTAAGCAAAATTTTATTCCTAATCAATATTTCATGTGGATTTACAAACTTTAAACCAAAGTAAAACTATACTAGAAACATTTCCATATGATTTGGTTTTATAATTTCAAGTATTCTTAATCCTCTACATTGCTGAGAGATGCTTTCTGCAAGCTTATATGACAATATATATATATGTATATATATATATGTATATATATATATATATCACTGAATCACCCCCAAAAAAAATTAAACTTATGCTGAACATTCTGTGAGGCTAACTGATAAAACTTCGGTGACTTTGGAGAAAGGGAATATTGCAAGTCCAGAGCTAAATAATCTTTAGCCTCCTTAGTATCCTGATCACCTCTGTTATCCCTAACCCTCTTGTGATTATTATAAATATTCTTATGTGACATGCAAAAAATCTCAGCATTCTTCAGACCAATGCCAATGAGTGACAGCAGAGAGCATCGGATGCCTGTAGCAGAAATTTCCACACTGCACTGTAACCTACCTGCCTGACGTGCCCACCAACAAAGCCTTAAAATTCCCTCATTTATGACTTTCTTTGTTCCATTACTATAAATATGTTAGCAACTTTTGCCAGACTAGAATGTGGAATTTGGGGCATCCTCAGTCTGTGTAGTCAGGCTGTCGTTAGTCAGAACTGACTCTAGAATAAGCTTTCCCTGTGATGTGAGACCCAAATTGTTGCAACAGTACATTCCACTACAAATGAAGTTAGATTCTCTCTGTCTGTGCATGCTACGTATGTACAAATAAATATATGTATAGATCAAACACAAATGTTGGTACCCTCCAAATTCCTGTTGTGTGGGGAAAATCACAGATCCCTGTGCAAGGAAAGTGGGGTAACCTAGGTGAATTCATCTTTTAGGAGGTTGGGACACAATATCCTAAGATAAAGGGTTGATATATGCCTTTATTGTACTTATATCTTAAGACGAAACTCTAACAGGAGAGAGGACACTAAAGAGAGTCACTTGTGGCCCTTCCCTTTGGCTGTTACACTGCTGTCTCTTTTCTATTTGCAAATTTACTGTGTTTAACAATAATACAGAACTCTGAGCTGAAGCTAACATTGATGAAAAGAAATGAAGAAAAGAGAAAAGAAAAGAAAAGAAAAGAAAAGAAGGGAAGGAGAAAACCCCTCTCTATTAATTTATCAAAGGAATGAAGCTGGAGATAGAGATCTCAGTCAAGACCAGAATAATGGATTCTTACCTTTACAAAACCAGGTCATTTCATTTTCTGTTTAAAAATTCAGGAACTTTGAAACCCTAGCTTCAATTATCCAAGACTGAACGAAAGCTATTGATTTCTGTGTAGACTGTTATAAGATTTTCACTAAAATAATAAATATATGTCATCTCCAAACTTCTAAAGTCTGTTTATCATTTTTTTTAAAAAGAATATTAAGATGTTTTTCCTGATAGTGGATAAGCCATGAACACACCCAGAACACTTATAATGAATTAATATGCATGAGATACAATGCCAATGTAGGGACGCACAATGAGATTAAATGCCAAGTGTAGGGCCCTGTAGGTCCATTAGAAAGTGTTACATACCAGTTAAAGCTGGAGTGTGGAAGTGAGAAAAAAAAGGGAAGGAGAAGGAAGGAATGAGAGGGAAAGATGGAGGGAGGAAGAGAGGAGGGACATAAGAAGGGAGAGAGGGAAAGACGGAGTGAGGGAGGAGAAGATGAAGGGATGGAGAAAAGGAAGAAGTGAGAGGAAAGGAGCAAGAAAGAAGGGCAGGAGAATGAGGAGTGATAGAAGAGTGAGGGAAAGATTGAGGGAGAAATTCAACTTCTGTTTTCATCTAGTAAGTGGGGTTTGTCTATGGCTTTATCAAACTGTTATATGGTCAATTCAGGTTTTTTAATCCCACACAAAATCACACCAGCCTAATTATTTATGATTATTCTGGGGCCTGATACATGATAAGAAAAGTCTTTACTACATTTAAACCTTAAGCATTTTCAAATTGTTCCTTGTATTCTGGATACTTTTCATTCATCTGATCACATTTCATAAGTATACAGGCAAATAAACAAGAATTCTGACTAAAATTACTCTGTATAAATTAAAGATAGATGGACATTTTAAGTCTGTTGAGTCTTCTGATCCACAAAAATTGTTTGTTTGGTCTCTGTTTATCTAGATCATGTTTATCTAGATTATATTTGTACTGTGTGTGTGTGTGTGTGTGTGTGTACCAAAGATAATTTAGTGTCTTTCCTGATATAGCTCCACCATACATTTTGAGACAGGCTCTATCACTGAACTAGACTGGCTAGCCCATGAGCTCCAAGGATCTGTCTGTTGTCCCTTCCTCACTATAGCACTGACATTATGGGCACGAGCCACTGTGGTGGATGGCAGAAGGATGGATGTCTATCCATCCTTAGTTGACAGAGTAGTTTTACTCAGAATTCTTGTTTATTTGCCATATGTTTATAGGATGTGACCAGATGAACGAACAATATCCGGAATACAAGGATCAACATTCTGGGCTCAGAGGTTCTCATGCTTACATGGAAAGCACTTTACTGACTGAGTTGTCTCTTCTGGTCTCATTTATCTCTTTACTGAAGATGTACGTGTCTCCCAGTAAATGTTGTACACCATTGGAATTAGTTTCACACACACACACACACACACACACACACACACACACACACTACAACCTTCTATTACCTTGTTAGCTCATTAATTTTCATTCTAAAGCTATGTTACATAATAAGTCTATAATTATTGTCCATTATTTTTCCTTCTCATATAAGTTTGAAATCTTGTATGTCGTTAGTAATGCTCTTTTCTGCTTGAATTACCACCCAATGATGTTATTATGGCATATTTATCTATTCTTTTTGTAGGCATTTTTTATTGCCTCCCTTGTTTTAATACTATATATGCTTAAGTACTTAATTTCTAGAAAGACTTTTGAAAGTAAGGTGAGTTTTGACTATCGTTAATCTATGCTAATTTGAATATCTTAACTATGATAATTCCTCCATTTTTATTTTTTTTAAATTTGGAATCTTTATGGTCTAGATATTTTATTCTGCATGACTACTCACTTAATTTACTCTTATCTTCAGTTTGTGATGTATTTTTAGATTATCCTTTTGCATTTTTTCCTGTATTATTTTACTTCTTTTCTGTATCTTTTCTTTCTCACTTTTTCTTTATAGCACATGGTCTGATAATCATTAATTTGATCTGTATTTTCAGTCTTGTTATAAATTTGAATGTATATACTATAAGGGTCTAATTTTGCTCACTATCTAGTGCTTTAGAATTTTATAAGTTGTTAACAACAATTTATAAACAGCACTCTCGCTTGACTTTCAAGAAAATAATTCATCATTATTTACTACTTTAACATTTGTGTAAATTTTTAGCATGGCTCCACATTCTAAAAGGTGTATAACATTCCAGAGTTCTTTATGTTTATAAGATTGTACAAAAAAAGTCAAAGAGGCTAATTGATATTTTTACATGTATGAATTTACCCTAGAAACTATTTAAAATTTTGGTTAAAGCTGTATAAACTTAGAAACCATAGATCAGGGGGGAAATGCGGACATTTCATGCACAAAGATGAGTTACGTCAATGAATCAGACACCAGAAACTGGTGATAATTTTAGACAATGATAGTCTTAACTTGAAAGGGTTTACAGTTTGTCATGATTTCTACTTAATGTACACACCGCCCGTGGCTGGTTCTACTCTATTACAGGGACATGATTTTGCTTATCTGGGATTATGCAGCTAGTTTTCCTTGATCTGGCAGCAGGTGAAAGAATTTCCTAGACACACTAGAAGCATTTAAAGATCTATAAACATCTCTTTGTGCCCTTGTCTTAGACTCTTTGACTGAGGGTGTGAGGTTGCATGTTTTATGAGATAAATCATCCTAGATTCACAAGAAGGCTGCATGAAGAATATGGGTCCTGAAACTTGTCAGAACTGCACAAAACTGATATCAGAGTGTCTTTGTGTTGATATAGAAGCTTTGAGATTGTCTGATACTGAATACTGAGCTAACATATATTAGCTAATCATCATCATCATCATATATGGAAAATAACTCATTTTTCCAAGGTTAGATAGACGGTTACTGAAGTGCAGCACAATTCTGACAATATCTGACTGTAAATATTATACTGTGAAGATAGTTTTTCTAGTAAATGAAAAATATGCTGGATTAATTATACTGACTTATTTCTGTAGATGGCATGACTTCCATCAATAATTTACTAGACTAGTCAATGAAATCTCTACATGAACACTTACCTGGAACTATGAATTCTATTTCTTCTGATACTGCAGTTCCTAGTCTATTAGATGCAAAACAGCGGTATTTCCCTTGAAAGTGAGAGATGTGTCCCTCATTTGGGATCTTGAATGTGCCTGAATTGTTAGATACAATTATCCGAGGGTCAGAAAGATCAAAAGGCTTGTCATCCTTAGTCCATGAAAATCTAGAAGATAAAGAAAATTTACCCTAAGTACTGGTGATATTTCTTATTTCTAAAAAGTTTTAATAAATAAATGTACAAATGATAAAACCAAGAGAATTTATGAGTTTCAAATATATATAATAAATCTTAACAGTATATAAAGACAAATCCAATAAATCTTATAAGTAAGGAAAATACAGTGAAAAGCAAGAAAGGAGAGTGAAGGTAGTTTTATTCTCTTTTAAAATGAAGACATTTAAAAATATTTCTCTCTCTCCCTCTATCTATCTATCTACCTATCTATCTATCTATCTATCTATCTATCTATCTACATATAATTCTGGATCACTGCTATATTATAGCACATGAAGTAAAGACACGTATGGAATGTCCTTCTCTGAATATATGTTTATGTGAAGAAACACACAAACTAACTCCCATACAAATTCCATTAATCGCCTTTATCTGGCATTTTTAAGTGTGTGAAACATTTGAATCTGTCTTAAATATATAATTTTTCCAGTTAAAAACTGTTAATTTTAAAATAATATTAAAAGTAATTTTATGATGATATATCATATTTTTGTCATGGGTTATTGTTTAATTTTTAACACATTTCAATGCTTTTCCTCTTATAAGTACTACAGTGGTAAGAAACTCTATAGATAGATCCTTTGATATATTTATTTCTTATTATTTCTATAGGGAAATTCTTTATAAATAATGACAGTAGATTTGTAGGGGAAATGTCATTATAGTTTTAGAAAAATATTCCAGAATAGAATTTGAGAAAAATACACAGTTACATTCTAATCACACATGAATAGTTGCATGAATAATAAGTAAACATGCCTGTGAGACATACATAAACATATTTGAATTTATAACTTATGCATTTACCTAATTATTCATAATGATAAGAAAATAAGGAGTCAGATACCAGAGTAAGAACCTGAAAGATCAGCGAAGCCACAGAGCCATCATTAGTGACTTCCTTCCTACCTCTCCATTCTTTCATTTAAAGGAATAGGATCTCTCTAAGCCCCATCTTACTACTTCTTCAGTCCTCCAAAACATCAGTGGTTGATAGGCTAGTGGCTAGCTCTGCCCTCTGATTCAAAAACAAACTTTATTGCCAAATTCAATCAAAATATCACACAACAGTTGACTTAACCACCATTTACTTAGAAATCTGGTGTTTCAACCATATGTAGATTTGTATTCTAACTTTCATAGTCACATTAAACCAAAATAAAATAAAATACTTTCACATATACATGACATATTATATAAACAAAATAATATATTAAAATAAAATGTTTGCACCTATCTATGTGATTCATGACACCATAGATACATGAAAGCATTTTATTTTAATTTTATTGTATTGTTTTATTTATATAACATTTTATTATATTATTTTCTATTATACTTACTTTGGTTCTGGGTTTCCTTTAGCTTCACATTCAATTTGAAAATACTCATCAAAGGGAAAGGCAACTTGCACATAAGACTGCTTTATGATTGTTGGTACCTGTTGAACTGAATATCAAAACAATATACTTGAAGAATGAGGTTTTAGAAAACAGGACAAGATTAAGTAACAGAATAACATGTGCTTTCTACATCATCAGTATGATGGATAATCTTCAGTGTCAACTTGGCTGTATTTAGAACTGCTCAAGAAACATGATGGAGTGCAGCTATCTGGGTGTTTCCAAAAAGGTTTAAAGGAGAAGGAGAGAGCCATCCTGATTAAGAAACATGAACAGCAATGGGCTGGAGATATGGATATTAGAAAATGGGGTAATCACCTGAACATCATTCACCCCTCTTTTCTTCTTGACTATGAGTATAAACTGACCAGCTACCTCTGCCTCTCACCACCTTCCCTGACACGATGGAGTCCATCCCATCAAACCATGAACCAGAACAAATCTGTCCTCTCATAGGTGTTTTTTTTTTTATTTACTTCCACAAATACTCTACCACAGTAATAAGCAAAAGGCTATCCCAACAATTTTACTTCTTTTTTTTTTTTTAACAGAACTTGCCTCAAGTTTATTTGTAAAAACAGCATAAGGTCCTGAACATCTGCAAATACTGTGTAGGTGTTCACACCAGTCCATCTGTCTTCACATTGGCAGACTGAGACCTTTTTTATGGGGCCTTCACAGGGGCCTGGGCACCTTTAGGAGCCTGAGCTGCAGCTGAGGCCTCTGCCTTGGCTTGAACCTTGGGCTTTGTTTTTTGGAGCCTACGACCCCTGGCCATGTAGCTTCTAATCCGCTTCCCAAGCTTGGGATGAGCAATTAAAGCCAGACGAGTGAGTTTGCGGGTGGGACCCTTTGGCACCTTGGGCTTCACCACCTGGGGCTTCAGCAGGGCCTTGATGGCCTCCGCACGTGCACTCATGGCCTTTGCATTATTTGCCTGCATCTTCTTCAGGCCTTTCTTGTTGTGCTTCTTGGCAAAGCGCATGTTCCTCAGGAACTTGGGGTCAACCCCCTAGAGAGATTCGTATCTTTGTGACCGAGGTTTCTTGATGCCATTTCTGTGCCATTTCCGGGACTGATTGTGTGTGGTGTGGTTCTTGGACTTGGCCATGGCTGGACAGTAATCGGCGGCTCCCCAATTTTACTTCTTTTTAACATATATTTATGTCTAAGAAAAATATTCCCCTGCCATCATTTTATATTGCATCATATATAACTTTCAATTAATACCAGAAATATGGGACAATTTTTAAAACACAATAAAAACATCATGTTATAACTTTAATATCTATTTTTAAAATTATTGGCATCCCATTTATGTAGACATGTGCACTGATTTTTGTAAATTGCTATCATTTGGAAAGTTTTTCTGTAATGTTCACTGCTTCTATATATTACTGCTTCTATATAGATATTATAATTAACTAATTTAGCATCTTTTACCCTATTGTTATCCTGTGTCTTTTTTGATATTACTTCTAGTATAGGGCATGTTTATTTTCCATCTCTCTTTCCAGTTAATATGTATTTCAATAGGTATATATAGGGCATTATAGGGTTTTCCATTATTGAAGTATCAATATATGATAAATTTTCAGATATAGATATAATGAAACTGACTCTGGGAATAAATGCCAAAATCATTTTACAAGCAATGTGTGGTTAGTGTGGTACTGATAGTCTGAAATCATTGATTAATAGCTAATTAAGATCTGCCAAAAGTCCATATTTATTGCAAAAGGATTTTCTTCTGTCTTTAAATTTTATTTATTATTTTTGTTGATAAATACTTTTCTACAATCTTCCTTGAGATTTGACATTACCCATTCATGAATTTATCTTTATTTCTCTTCCTCACTTGAATTGTCATTCCCCATTCTAAAATCAATTTAAAATAAGAGTACACAAAATTCATGGATGCTGAAGACAAGCACTTGGATTAAGTTTTGAAATAAAGCAGAGATAATTATGTACATAATGCTATACATTAAGTAAGCACTCAGTCATTTTCAAATTGAGACATTCTTTAGTTTAATTCTGACAGCTGTTAATTTATATTATTAATTCATAAGGAATCACAAAGCAATAGGTAGCAAAAAACTGACTTTGGCATGTGTGTGTGGTTTTTTTTTTTTTTGTTTGTTTGGGATATGACCTTTATTGAGCTTATCCACCAGAGTGGAAATAATGTCTGTACAAAACCAAATGTTTGTTACTATAACTTCTGCATCACAATTAAAATCCAAACAGTTTTTTAAAAACAGTCAACTCAATCAAAACCCACTACTTCAGAATCGATAGCTTCTTTGAAGCCACAGTAACACTTAAATATGGTTAAGACTCGAATGCAGAAATTTGGTTGGTTTGGAAGGCTAACTAAGCCTCCAACTTGCTCAAATAGAATTACAAAAGGCAAAATTGTGTTTTTCACAGAGATCAGTCCACTGGAATCACCAACACTGGACAGCTGTTAAGAACAAGAGTCCTGAGATAGTAGGAATCCAGGCATCCTTAAATGGTCTTCTGTTGTCCCTTCTTCCCAATCAGAGACTTGTGGATGTGCGGGATGACACCACCACCAGCAATTGTAGCCTTGATCAGAGAGTCCAATTCTTCATCTCCACGAATAGCGAGCTGCAAGTGACGTGGGGTAATGCGCTTTGCCTTCAAATCTTTTGATGCATTTCCTGCCAATTCTAGTACCTCTGCGGTGAGGTACTCCAGGATGGCTGCGCTGTACACAGCGGCGGTCGCGCCCACACGTCCGTGGCTGGTTGTCCTAGATTTCAGGTGTCGATGAATATGGCCGTCTTGGCCTTTCCGGAGTCTTTTCCAGCCTTACCGCCAGCCATCTCGGACCGTGCTGAAGATCGGACAAGCGAGAAAGAGTCGAGGCCAGGCGGACGCGCAGAGAGATCCCGGCGCCCACTCCTCCGTCGGACCGCGATTCAAACTGCCTGGTATGTGTGTTTTTGAGAAAGATAATTTGCAGACAAGCAACCAATTACGGGGTAATCAAAAGGAAAGGTACAGATAGGACCTTCAACCACAGGACACTGGGCCAAGCTTTGACTTCTTCACCATCTTTAAAATTACAAGGTACCAAATGGTCCCTGTTTAACCAGATTATGAGTAACAATTTTAACTACATAGAAAGTTAAAACTGCATGTGTTTACTTAATTTTTAAAATAAATCCCATAATAAGTTACAATAAATAATGTCATATGGAAATCACTAGATACCAGGAGAAGGGGTTCATTATTTTACATGATTGCACTTCTGTCATTTCTAAAGAGATGGCAGGACTCTCATGTTTACTTCTGCACTCTTTATGTAGCAATAGGCCAATGTGATTAAACATGTACAAATTCAACCTTCCTATGAACATGCAAATAAAAGGAATGGGAAATTATAAATTCCAGTCAGATGATTTTGTTATTATTTTATTCTTAAACAACTATTATAATGTGAATCTAAAACCTAAACAATATGCTTCTTCTTATTCTATTATATTGTACAATTTTAGTGACTTTTTGACCAATGCATGATTTTTGGACCAGCACACAGTAGTCTTAAAAAAAAAAAGTACGGGTTTTCTGAGTGATGGAGATCTGACAAATATTTGATTTTTTTTCTAACAGGCAGTCAAATAATGTCACTCTACTCAGCATTGCCACTGATCTAATCAGTAAAGTCACTGATGTTAGGAAGTTTTTGGCCTCAGGCTTCCACAAGTCTAATTTTTACTTGAACATTCAGATTTGGTCATTGACAGGTATCATACTTATATTATCAGTGTATCTTGAAGTGTCAGGATGATTTCCTGCCTCTGAGGGAAAAATATCTGCCTCCAAACATCTGACCAGCCATAATTAGTCTGTCAGTCATACTTTCAAGTAAAAATAGTGTGTATTGAAGCAATGATATAAATGAAAAAAACCAAGGAAATCCTTTCACTTTAATGCAGCAGAATTATTTTATATCCATTTCACAGTGTGTCCCAGTATTCTTTAGAGGTAGAGAGTTAACAAAGTTAATATTGTTTTATGGATTTAACAATTTTAATCTTAAGAAAAATTGTGCTGGTTTAGGGGTATATGAATATGAGTGTATGACCATGAGATACACATTGCATGTTGGACAGCTCAGAACTCATGCCATTATTGGTGATAGGGAAAGAGAAGTTTTTCTACTATAGATTTCTAAGAATCAGTACAGATGACAATGAAGGTGAAAGGGGGTAGGAAATGGCACTGGGATGTTATTTTCCAAACACTTGGATCTCCCAGGTAATCTAAATGTATCTCTGAGATCCTGAAGCATCCACAAACCATCATTTAAGCATCAACAGCCAGTTTAGACTTAATAACCGAAAGCTCTTCCCAATTTTAAGATTGCATTTATTTTCTTTTTGCCTAACAAAAATGGTAAATTGCACTGTCGCCAGCTCAAATTCAGGCTTCATCCAGTGGATACTGATCACCACTTTAGTATTTGCTAAACGCTTCCACATGGACAGTTGTCTCATTTCTGATTAATGCCCTTTAGGCAGAGTGGGTATTGGGCTCCTTGTAAATTCATCCTGTGTAAATTTTATTGCAATTACCAATGGTAGAGAGAGGCACAGCAGCAGTCCCAAAGATACCAGCTAAGAACTTGAGAACAACTTGTTTATTACAACATTATTCTTTCTTAAATTTGCTAACGTTGTAAAGGCTTTGCAATAACTAATTATTCAGGGAATGGAGCTAATAACCTTTGGGTGTTTGTATGAATATATATTCCACATTGCAAATCCTTTCCTCTATAATTAGACCAATTACAGAGACACCAGACTCGTTGACATTCAAATTGGATACCTGCCTTGGTTGCATTTGCTAGTGAGTACTCTAGAGTGCCAAAATAAATGGGCAATATTCAATTGCTCTGGAAACATGATATTAATATTTTATAACAATTGTCTGAGGACATTACAGCATGAATGATAAGTAACAGAGACTATCAAACTAATAACAAGTGACGTGAGCTAATACAAAATTTTTCATTCTTCATCATGGAAGAACAAGTGAAAAACAGGGAGCATGTATATGTTCGTTAGAGAGTAAGGTCAGACATTTGAATCTGGAATACCACATGCACCCTTGCTGTTTTTAACTGTGAAAATTTAATGAGGCTGGAGAGATGGCTTAGCAGTAAGAGCACTTGCTACCTGTCCAAGGGACCTAGGTTTGGTACAAAGAACACATAAGGTGTTGTAGCATCATCTAATTCTAGCCCCAGGGAATTCATTGTCATCTTCAGACCTGTTTTGACACCTGGCATGCACCTGCAGGCCAAAACAAAAACAACAGCAACAAAATAAAACAGAAAACCCACATAATTTCTTTTAATGAGAGAATCTACTAATTATGATGGTGTTTAAATTCTCAGTTGGTCACTGATGAATTTTGATGAACTTGTACAAGCTGCAAGATTTTAGCTTATTAGAAGAAATGTACACATGTATATAAACATACATGCAGAACAGGGAATTAAACTTCCTTAACAGTTGAGAATACAGAAACAGAGGCTTAACCACCTGTTAAGAATAGGAGAGAGTAGATTCTCTCCTGAGGAATCAAGACAGCATTGGACTACCAGTACATTGTGTGATGTATAACAGCTTCTTTAAAGCAATTCAGAGTGACCATCAGAGGAGATTTTACAACACATCCCAAAAGGTTTTCTTGCTCTCTAGTTACACTGAGTCTAAGTACTTCAATAGAATATTTTACCTCACTACTAGTACTCTTAAAAAATTCATTAAATTATCTGAGAAAAAGATGATTTCTTTAGAATTCGCATGATCCGTAACGCTATTTTCCCATGTTGAGATTTTAATAAACAAAGGACTCATACCCTTCTACAGTACATACAGCAGGCACAGAAGGGACTCTGGTAGAAACACATGATAAACATATCTGAATCACATTTCAAGGCCCTTTCACAGCAAAAACAGTCCTTGATTGTCCACATCTCATCCTTTATAAACCATTACATGAAGTGTGCTTACAGTTGCATTAATTTCAAACTATTAATAATATAATTTGTTGAAAATGATGGATGATGACTACTAACCTTTTGCATGCAATTACCAAGATATTATAAATATATATTCATAAGCTCACTGACAGATGACTTAAAATAATTCACACTCTAGAATACACTAAATTGGAAGGCAGTATTAGGTAATACAATTTTGAACTCTAATTTGACCTTTTGTTATTTTCATAAATCATTATTTCCATTTTAAGTCAAAATAGTTTTGGGGAAGATTATGAGGCTTCTGGGCTGGAGAAACGTTTTAGCAATTAAGAGCCTGCAGTGCTCTTGCAAAGGACCCAAGTTCATTTCCTAGCTCCAGTATCAGACAAGTTCCCCAGCTTTAGGAGGATCTGATGCCCTCCTCTGGCCTCCAAAGACACACTCACTTACACGCACATAACCACAGCTGAACACACAAATAAATAATTAAAAACAAATAAAACTTTTTTTTTAAAAAATGAGGCTTATTCAATTCTTTTTTGTTATAGCATTGATAATGTTAGTAATTTCTAAATCAAAATTCTCCTTAGAATAAGATATAAACTAAGTATGTAAAAGAAAAGGCTTTTTGTAATATTCCAGGTCATTCTAGACAGAGGACAAACCATCACTTTTCTGTCAGTTGTACTTTTTATAACAGACCAAGGTTACACAAAAAGCAAAACAACTAAGGTGAAAAGTTATGAGAGCAACTAAAGATCATAACCCAAACCTGAAAATTATAGCTGTGACTATTAAAAACAGTTAAGAAATTAAATAGAAAATTAAAAAAATTAAAATTGAACATATATTCAATTTAAAAAAAATCATAGCAGGAATTGGACACTGTGCTTTTACCTGAGAGTGGTATTTCAGCTCTTGACAACTTTAACAGGAGGAAAATTAGACTCAGGATCAGTCCTCTTCCCTGTAACAGCATCTCCATCACTCTTCAGAAAGGAGGCAACACACAAAGACTGAAAAACTTAATGTTCTTGTACTTCCCAATCCCGAGCAAGGAAAACGTGCAAAACCTGGAAAAGTCAGGATATCAGTTAATCCACTTTAAAATGTGAACACAGCAAAAACAAACACATTACCTAATTAACAAATTAACAAGCCAATGAACTTATTATCTAACAGTACTGCAACATGAGCTATTCTTTATATTTAAAACAAGAGCTATTTATGCAATGTATGATATGTTGTAAGCCATGAGCCATTCCAGTGAGTACTATTTGTAAATCAGAGTAAGATTTATAATGAAAGCTGTTTCCCATGCTGTAATGATTGGTAGCTATGAGAATAATTTCATTAATCTTACTCAAAAAGTAGTAAATTCATACTCAATTCTTCATATTAATATTAAAGATCATAAAGACAAATCTTGGTCTCTCCTGGTAAAGTACATTTTCTTTTTTGCTTTTCTTTCTTTCTTTCTTTCTTTCTTTCTTTCTTTCTTTCTTTCTTTCTTTTTTTTCCTTTTTCTTACTTTGACTTTTTGAGAAAGGGTTTCTCTGTATAACTTCCTTGGCTATCCTGGAACTCACTTTATAGACCAGGCTGTCCTTGAACTCACTGAGATCCACTTGCCTTTGCCTCCTCCTAAGCGCTGGGGTTAAAGGCCTATCATGGCCCAGATACATTTTCCTATTCAAAATTTTGCAACGTAAGATGGTATTTCTAGTAAGACAAATGAGAAATGTAAGGAAATAATGGAGGGGCATGTAAGACACTAATCATTCAAACATAAGGGCTTGAGTTCGAATCTCAAGAAGCAAAGCAAAAAGACGGGTGTGGTTGGGACCAGCTATAAAACCAGCGCCAGGAAGACAGAGACCATAGGTTCCTGGGGCTCAATGACAAACTAGTCAAAGAGATTAGTTAGCTATAGGTTCTATGAGAATCCGGGCCCCCAAAATAACATTAGCAAGACTGGGTATGCCGAAGTGGTGTGAAGACATGGAAACTCATTATACTATGAGATGTAGGAAGCTCTCAAAGCATTAAAAAAAAGAGAGTGTTTGGAAGACATCCAGTGTTGACCCTTGACCTCCATATGAGCACATACACAGTCACTCATAGACATGCCCAAATATCCACATCCACTTATGCACATACACTTGTGCACCTGTGTACACACACACACACACACACAGAGAGAGAGAGAGAGAGAGAGAGAGAGAGAGAGAGAGAGAGAGAAAGAAAATATATTTTAAGTAAAATTTACAAATATGCCATTGTTTCAAGCAGAAGAAAATTCATCAGTTGATTCCCACTTGAAAACAAAATAATGATTAAAATTTTGACTTTCCTTCCTACTATTGCTTCATTTTTTCTCCCTGAAATATTAGGGTAGCACCTTTATATTATTCATAATATATTTCTCTGACAGTAGCACAATACTTTGTTCCAGAATGTGATTTTTTTTCATGAAAACAATTTTCTTATTCCTAAAAAAAAATCAATTACTTTACTTGTTCATTACAGAATCAGATACATCAGTACATTTAAATTACTTCCAAATATGTTAGCTTTTAAGTTTCACTTCTAATTGCAACTCAAGAGATTATAGGAGCTTAGTTAGTTAGCTCAGTGATAGGTCCTGGAACTCAATCGCCAGCTCTGCAAAACCAAAAGAAAGAAAGAGACAGTAAAGAATGTGGTCTGACTTTCTTTGTCTACTGCTAAGAGAAAAATACTCTGACAACCTAAGGGATGAAAGGTTTATTTTAACTCAGATTTCATGGTATAGTCTAGCAAAATAGAGAAATCAAGGCAGCAAGCAAATGAAGAAAGAGCCCGGTCACATGGCTTTTAAACCTAGAAAGTGACAGGGATGCATGCTTATCACTGTTCTGTTCCCTTTTGTTACATACATAGTTTAAAATCCTAGCCAAGGATTGGTGCCATTCACAATAGATGGGCTTTCTCACCTCAATTTAACACAATCAAGATAGTGCCCAAGAAGTGTACTATAGGCCTATCTCCTAGAGCATTCTAGGTTCTGTCAAACTGACAATTAACACTAGACGTCACAGGTGTCTTTCCTATACATATATTAGTGGGTCACATTTAAAAAACAAAACAAACAAAAAAACAAATGCTATTTTTTTATGATTTGGGGAATATTCACTAACAACAATTCCTTTTGTATTTTGACTTTGAGAAATTCTACAATGATAATGAAGGATAAGGTTCCCTTCTCCTACAGACCCCTCAGAATATACTAATTGGGAAAACATTTTATTTTTTATTTCATGCATTATTTTACTTTATCTGATCTTAATTGTCTGTCACCAAAATGGGAATTTAAAAGCCAAAGTTATCTTTGCTTGCTTAAAAATATTTACAATTATGACAACTTATATAAATAATTGAATCTATTTTCAGATCTATCACTGTGATGACTGACAGCTCATTTTCTTTCTGAAATAACTTATTCTAATCAACAAAGAAAAATGAATAAAACCATTGCCTTTAATCAGAAAAACATCTGAGTTCTACACATTAGCATAAAGCTGCAAGACGTTCCATCTACTTCAAAAATTGAATGTGCAAATAAAATATTAACATCTTCCCTTTGAATTTTCCTTTTTCCTCCCTCCTAAACAATAGACAATAATCATTTGAATTTACTACCTATAGTGACTCTTATATTATTTAACATTTTATCACATTAATGTTTAATACTTATAGCTTCAATGGTATCTCACATGTGTGTTTAATGAATTGATATCTATTTGTAAGGAGTAAAGCTTTCAAAACCATGATGATGATAAAAGGCCACAATTCCAGGTTAGTATCTAATGTATCATCATAACCAGAACTAAGGACAGTCAAGTAAATCAGAACTGGCTCATTTATTGATTCTCCTGATCTAGACTAATGAATTAAATGGTCTCTAATTGCTGTAGTAGAGTAGCTCATAAAAGTGTGTTGCTCAGGAGCAATCATTGGACTTGGAAGTTTAATGGTCTTTGCCTTCAGGATCAACCAAGACATTCTATTCCATAAAAGGGCATGGGAGAGTTACAGTAGCAATTTCTGTACTTTGAAGGCAGAGGTTGGAGAATCATAGGTCAACTTGAAATACATAGTAAGGACCAGGCAAGTCAAGGCTATATAGACTGTATCACAAAACAAACAGAAATGACACATAATAAAACTACATGCTTAGATATAAGTCAAATTTCAAAATATAGATTGTTCTCATCTTCTATAGGAATTATCCTCCAGATATCTGCAATCTGCATACTCATCAGGTATGACATTAAAATCATAAAAGGTAAAATGGGAGGCCATTTTTTTACAGTTACAAAGGCAATTTATTAGACTGACTTACACACTACAAACTGGGTTTGTAGAATCTGAGAACCTTTTAAGCAAGATTTAAATTCTAAAGTCAGAAGTCCCAAATAGCTCCCAGACTGAGGAAGAAAGTCAGCCTTATTTCATTGTCAGAAACACAAAGGGCACATCATTAAGTAATTCTATTTTTAATCAGAAAACAGCAATAGAATTATAATCCTATTTATCTTTTTAAAAAGAATTTGAATTTAATGACTCATGCCAGAGCTCAAAGATAAAACCAATTGTTGGAGCACAGGGTAGATCTGACACATAAGACAAATGTAAGATATACAGAGGTATTTTGAGATACAGTTACAAAAAGACAATTTCTAATAACTTAGTTTTATGACATTAACTATAATGCAAGACAAATCAACTCACTTTCATGAATCTCAAAATTGCATAAAACTCTGGTATTAGTTTAGCACATTACTGGAAATAGAAAATTTCATTTCTGAATTTTTACAAGACAAAATATAAGAAAACAGACACATATATGTCACATCAAACATTTGATCCTTACAATTGACTAAGCTTGTCTGGAGGAACTAGTTGTATAGGAATTAAACACAGGTTAGTATCAAGGGATTATCTTAGAGAATGACAAGCAGACTTGCCAAAATGTTACTTTCAATGTATCAATGACAAGGAGACATCATAGATGCATCTGGTCATTTTGCTTTGTGTGTAGTGCTACAGACCAAACCTAGTGTCTCTTACATGCCAGACCAGTGCACTACAACTGACCTATACCCACAGTTCCCTCTGACACATTCAGAAATTCCAAGGCAACACATCTAGCAACAATTTGCTCTCTTAACTTGAATTGATCTTATGCCTTTAGAAAAGAAAAGAAAATCAGCCTTTGCTGATTCCATTTTGTCTCCTAAGAAAATGCCAGACTACTGAGAGTTGGTGAGCAGCCTGGATAACAAACCAGATCATAGAACAGTGATCACTGGTGATCTTGTCTACTTTCAATTTCCAGGAGGATAAATATATGTTTTTCTTTGGGTTCACCTTATTATTAAGCTTCTCTAGGATCACGAACTATAGGCTCAATGTCCTTTGTTTATGGCTAGAATTGACTAATGGGTGAGTACATACCATATTCATCTTTTTAGGTCTAGGTTATCTCACTCAGTAAAGTGTTTTCTATTTCCATCCATTTGCATGCAAAATTCAAGATGTCTTTGTTTTTTTTTACCACTGAGTAGAACTCTAATGTGTATATGTGCCACACCTTCTTTATCCATTCGTTGATCGCCAGGCAAGTTTGGAGCACAGGGGTGGGGGTGGGGAGAGGGGAAGGGGAGATGGCTAGAGAGAAGGGAGAAGGGGAGGATTGGGGAGAGCTTGGGGGAGTGGGATGATTGAGATAGAGGAAAGGCAGATATGGGAGCAGGGAAGAAGATAATTAAGGGAGCCATTTTAGGGTTGGCAAGAGACTTGGCTCTAGAGGGGTTCCCAGGTGTCCAAGAGGATGTCCCCAGCTAGGTCCTTGGGCAGCAGAGGAGAGGGAGCCTGAACTGGCCTTGTCCCATAGCCACATTGATGAATATCTTGCATATCACCATAGAACCTTCATCTGACGATGGATGGAGATAGAGACAGAGACCCACATTGGAGCACTGGACTGAGCCTCAAAGGTCCAGATGAAGAATAGAAGAAGGGAGAACAT